ACAAAAAAGGAAACTGGGGAAAAATTTTTTACAGCCAGTTTCTCTGATAAAGGCCTCATTTTTCAAATATATAGGAAACTGAGTCAAGTTTATAAAAATCAGGAACCACGCACCAGTTGATAAATGGTCAAAAGATGTGAATAGGCAGTTTTCACAAGAAGAAATCAAAGCTATCAATAGTCACATGAAAAAATGCTTTAACAGAGGAGCAGCTAGGTGGCACAGTAGATAGAGCACTGGCCCTGAAATTAGGAAGACCTGAGTTCAAATCTGGCCTCAGACCAAACACTTGACACTTATTAGCTGTGTGACTCTGGGCAAGTCACTTTACCCCAATCTCCTAAAAAAAAAAACCCCAAAAAGAAAGTTACTTTTGGGGCAGCTAGGTGGTGCAGGGGATAGAGCACCAGCCCTGGATTCAGGAGGACCTCAGTTCAAATCCAGCCTCAGACACATAACACTTACTAGCTGTGTGACCCTGGGCAAGTCACTTAACCCGATTGCCTAGCCAAAAAAAAAAATGCTCTAACTCATTACTGATTAGAAAAATGTAAATTAAAACAGATGGACTCTGAATGTAGATTGAAGCATAGTTTTTTGCTTTCTTTATTTTTATTGTTTTATTTTGGTTTTGTTTTCTTTTGCAGTATGGCTAATATGGAAATATGTTTTGCATGACTTTCAATATCAAATTTCTTGCTTTTTCAGGAGGGGGGGCAGGGGAGACAGGGAGGGGGAGAATTTGAAACTCAAAAATTTTTTTTAAATTGATTGTTAAAGGTTTTTTTACATATAATTGGGATATATTTAACAAAATAAATTAAATAATTTTTAAAAATTTAAAATGATATTGTAAAGATAAAAAATATTAAAAGGAATCCAAGTACTAGTTGGGATAGCCAATCTTGACCTTGGAGAACAGATAATGAAACATTCTTTTCCCCTCTTGGTAGAGAGGCAAGGGCTTACAGGAGCAGAATACTTCACACATTGTCAGACTCAGCTGCTATATTGGTTGCTTTTGCTTAAGTGTTTTTTCTTTGTTATGAGGGTAGATTCACTACAAGAGAGAGGTGAGGAAGGGTTATATACAGAAACTACTGTTTCATATATATATATATATATATATATATATATATATATATATATATATATATATATATATATACATACATACATACATGTGTATATATATTAAGGCTTAAAAATTTGTTTTTTTAGTTGAATATTGTGGGGATTAAAATTGCCCAGCCTACAATAAAAGAGACTGAGGCAGGGCTCTGAGTAATTGGCACTTTATTAAATCTGAGCCAATGGCACTTTATTAAAGGGTCCAGAGTCCCCTCTAGTGAAGTGGACCTCAGATTTTCCTCCTTCCAGGGCCCAATTTTTATAGGGCTAGATATCTAGACATTCTCAAGCAGTTATACGAAATACATAATAATTCCATTGGTTGACAAATGATGCATTGGCTAAAATAAGCAAACAATATGTCAGCAGGACCACAGGTTGAGAAAAGCAAGAAATAGCTCCACTGACTAGGGGGTCACAAGATGGTGGGCTTCTCCTTAGATTAGGCAGGAGCTATATATACACTCCTGGGTTGACTTTCCATACCATACCACCACCCATACTTGGTTTAGTCATCAAATTTGAGCAAAACAGGATGGAAATGTCTTTGTCAGCATATTTGTCAGCACAAGTGAGCTCCATAGCTGGTAAACAAGTAATGAATATTATGTTAAAGTTTGAGGCCTATTATAGGGGCCTTCTTTTCAAAACTATATTCTTATGTGACTTATACAAAGTATAGATTAATACATTGCTTATTCTTGCCTAAATACATGAAAGAGGCATGGCGAAATACAGAATCTTATTGGTTGATAGACCTTGTTCTTGGGGGCCAAAAATTTCATAATAACAGGGTGATCACAGATTGGGTGAAGCATGGAGCATCTCCACTGATTAAATGGTCATAAGATGGTCACATAAGATGGTCCCATAAGATGTGACAAGAGAGAATGGTCCAGAGGTATACAAATTGATTAGGGGACTTTCCATGTAGTTGAGTCACCTCTGCCACACTGGCCTTGGTCTCCATGACAAGGACAAACAAGAGTGGAGGGTCTCTAGTTACCTTCCTATGATTAAGTAAGGGAACTTACAATCTGCAGCTCACATCTCTGGGGCCAAACATACAGAACTTATAATCACTACCCCCATAGAATCATATCAAGTTGATTGATACTGATTAAAATAGAATAGGGGTCCTCAATGAATCAACTTTCTCAATATCAAACCTCTGGTCAAAGACAACTTCCTGTTACAGTATTGTTTCTTTTGAGCACTCAGATTTTCTTTGCATCATTTCAATTTACAGAACCATTTCTAGAGATACAACCCTAGATGATCATGAAGATTGCCTGTATTAATTGACTAGGATTAATGGCTATTGTCCCTATTAGAGAAACTACTATAAAACTTGCTTAAGAACTGTTCTGTTCAAATATGTTCTAGAGGTTTAGAGAAGAAAAAAAAACTTGTTCTTTAAGAAATAGGTTGGTCTCAGCCAGGTTATAAAACTTGCAGGGCTTAGCAAAAAAGTAATTCAGTATTAATTGAGTGACTATAAAGGAGAGGGAGAAGTTGATTGAATAAGTTAGTAAATTGCTAGAGTAACTTTTCCCATGGTTGGTTGAATATAGACTGGCTTGAATATAGACTTTGGGGTTAGGAAGAGAGAAAACATAATTTATTTTCTGCCTTTTCTCTTCCCAATCTCTGCTTCAAAGAAAAAACTGCTTTGTTTTTCTACTTTGAGTTACCATTTCTGTGATATCTCCAAAAAATTGAGGCATCAAAAATATGACCCCTTATTATAATATTGTTTCATGGGAAAAATGAAATTCAACTAGAATAATGTTGACTTATAATACTTCCCCCACCCTTACCCCCTGCAATAATATAGGAGATAAGTACTGGATATGTGATACTATTGATATAGGGAGCTCCCAGTGAGGAATTCTACATTGCCAATTGTAGGTCTACCAATACCTTCTCTTCAACTCATATAGTTTCTCAAAAATGCCTGGGGAACAGCACAGTAGACGATTTGCCCAGGGTCACACAATCAGTGTGTGTAAGAAGCAGGACCCCAAACCAGGTCTTCCTGGCTCAGAGACCACTTCTCTCATCCACTAAGCCATGGTATCTCTTACAGTAATAATAAAACACAAAATAAATTTGAGGAAGAGGAAAGATCAAGAAATAGGAAATTTAAGAATATAGATAGTTTTGAACACTTCTTGAAAAAGGTCAAAACCTTTCTTGAAATCTCTCTATAGAGAGGTAAGCTAGATCTCTTTAAAGAGAAAAACTGATTAATGTTGGAGAAGATGTGGGAAAATTGGAACACTAATGATTGTTGTTGGAGTTGTGAATTGATCCAACCATTTTGGAGAGCAATTTGGAACTATGCCCAAAGGGCTATAGAAATGTGCATATGCTTTGACCCAGCAATAGCACTTCTAGGTCTGTATCCCAAACAGATCATAAAAATTGGAAAATGACCCAAAATATTTACAAAAATATTTATAGCAGTTCTTTTTGTGGTGGTCAAGAATTGGAAATTGAGGGGATGCCCATGAATTGGGGAATGGTTGAACAAGTTGTGGTATATGAATGTAATGTGTTGTGATATAAGAAAAGATGAGCAAATGGACTTCAGAAAAACCTGGGAAAACTTATATGAACTGATGCTGAGTGAAGTGAGCAGAACCAGGAGAATATTGTACACAGCCACACTGTGTGGTGACTAACTTTGATAGACTTAGCTCTTCTCAGCAATGCAAGGATCTAAGATATCTCCAAAAAGTCTCATGATAGAAAATGCCATTCACATCCAGAGAAAGAATTATGGAATCTGAATGCAGATTGAAGCATACTATTTGCTCTTTTTTTTCTTCTGTTTTGTTTTGTTTCTTCTTTCTTGTGGTTCCTCCTATTAATTCTAATTCTTCTTTACAACATGACTAATGTGAAAATATAGGGATGTATATGTAGAGACTATATCAGATTTCATTCTGTCTTGGTGAGGGAGGTGAGGAGGGAGGGGGAGAAAATTTAAAACTCAAAAGCTTATAGAAGTGATTGTAGAAAACTAAAAATACACTAATTAAAAAAATAAAGAGAAAAACCACTAGTATAATGAAGCCTGACTATCAATGACTCCATCAATGCAGGAGAAAGCCTTGTAATAACTGGCTTTCTAAGACACCCTAGATCTGCAGGACATTTTAACCCTCTAAATAAGTAATAAACAAACAAATAAATAAAGGCTTTCCTGAGCAAGGGAAGTAAAATTTTAGTTGAGTATTTATTGATGAACAAATAAGTTAAGGAACAAAGGTATCACTTTATGCTGTCTTCTTATTAATTTAAATCAGAGATCAGAGGGTTGTCTTCACACCTCTTGGCCAGGCAGCCAAGCAAAAAGCCTTTTCTTCACCATGTTGTCAATGGACTGGAAACAGTCATAGAATACTGGGGCATGCTCTGAAGTGGAGAATTAAGCTTTTCTATTCTGCATCATCATGCACAACCTGAAGCAGGCTCTACCATCAGTTATCTTTGAAATATCTGGAAGAATGGGAGGTATGCCACAGGACTGGAGAAGGGCAAATGTGCTGATTTAAAAAAACAAAGAAAGAAAGAAAAGGAATAGAGTCTAAAAACTACAGGTGAATGATCTTGACTTCAATTCTAGGCAAAATTCTAGATTGTAATTGTAGGAGGGGAATGGCCAAAGCCAGGCATTATAAATATGCACAGCATGTTCAGCAGATACAATTCTCACCTGGACTTTGGAGTATTCTCAGATATTCTATAACTGGTTCCAGGCCACTGACCACGCCATGAAGAGATGGACTTTTGAAAGGCTACTGAGCTGGAACTGTGTGTGCATTCAGAAGGCATTAACCAGCCATAGTGAGCCTTTTTCTCTTTGCTTACTTGTTGTGTTTGAGTGAGAGAGACATGCTGCAAGCCTCTGGATGGGTAGGAGACTTGGGCCCTCTCCACCTGGGGCTCATAGGTGGCATATAAATATGGGTCTCTGTGGTTTGCTTCTTTGCATTTTTTTCTTTCCTACTTTTAGGTTAAAATGTATTATAGACTGCTATGACTACGTAAGTTTCAAAAGGTCGGAATGGTGAGCCCACCAGAAGTCTGGGAGCAAGAGTGCATGTAGAGATTGCAACCAACTGAAAGTGGTTCACCAGCCCAGCCCCTGGATCCAGCTCAGAGACTCAGGTAATAGGTGAAAAAGGTGTGACCCTTCCTGCTGTTGGAGGTGGGGAAAATGCTTTGTAACGTCTATTCTAGCTGAATGTTTAGTTAATATCCTTTTGTCACAATAAATTGAAGTTAATTGGTTAAATTAAACTGAGGTATTAATCATTGGTCATTAACATTGGGAAAAACATACCACAATGGAAGTTCAAACTGATAACATTAGAGAATCACCTCAGTCTCTCAAGGTATCCCATGGACCTGGCTAGTGAGATGCAGCCTGGCTCTGGGGGACCTGAGTTGTCTGGGAAAGTGGGAGTTGGGATAAGGGCCTTCAAAGTTTATAAAAGGCTATATGTTTTTAAAGGGATGGTTAAGGAACATTTAGAAAAGGAAGCAATGGTGGCAAAAAGACAGTTTGTTATTATTGTTGTTGTTGTTGTTGCTGTATCACAAAGAATAGGTGACAGCAGACTAACTTCGGGCAGCTAGGTGGTACAGTGGATATATTGTGGAGCCTGAGTTCAAATCTGACCATAGACACTTATTAGCTGTGTGACCCTGGGCAGGTCACTTAACCCCATGTACCTCAACACTAAAATAAGCTGGAGAAAGAAATGACAGTAACTTTTCCAAGAAAACCCTAAATGGAGTCAGGAAGAGTTGTACATGAATGAAGTGACTGAACAACATGGTTTGGCTCAGACAGCCTCTGAGGACTTTTCCAACTCTGAAACAATGAGATTCTGTCAAAAGCAACCCAAAGATGTTTGAAAATCCTGAGTTGTTGGGGCAGCTAGGTAGCATAGTGGATAGAGCAACGGCCCTGGATTCAGGAGAACCTGAGTTCAAATGCAGCCTCAGACACGTAACACTTACTAGCTGTGTGACCCTGGGCAAGTCACTTAACCCCATTGCCTAGCCAAAAACAAACAAACAAACAAAAGAAAATCCTGAGTTGTTTAAACTGTCTGTGTCTCTGTTTCTGTCTCATTCTGCCTTTCTCTTTGTGCTGTCTTTGTCTCTCGCTGCCATCTTTCTGTCTTTCTCTTCTTCCCCATTCTATCTCTGTCTCTGTCTCTCTGTGTCTATCTCCCTTTGTCTGTCTGTTTTTCTGCCAGTCTGTCTGTCTCTACTGTCTCTATCCCTCCCTCTGTTTCTCTGTTTTTGTCTCTCTCCTCCCATTCTGTATAATCTTCTCCAGCTCTGTAGTCCACCCAGTTTTAGAGAAAATATGAGTCTCCAGGATTCTTCAAGTTTTCAGTGCATGCAAGGCAAAGGCAAACCCTCCAGAGTCCTTTCTCTCACCAATCCCTTCCCTCTCTCTCCTGTTTTTATCCTTTCTTAGTCTCCAGAGTTACCAGATCCACTAGTGTTCATTCATGCCTTTAGGCAGATACCTTTTATTCTACCTCCTCATTCAAACAGGAGAGGAAGGGAAGAGGGTGGGGGGAATCAACCCTGAACTTTCAGGGTGTTTGCTGGGTCCCTAATATATTTCTCCCATCTGCTTTTCTGGTATTATGCTTTCAGGGTATGACTGGAGCAGAAAATGCTGCCGTTCAGCTCCAGTAAGCTGTTTAGCCAAGTGGAGGCTCCAAAGTAGGTGATCGTTTATAACCAAGGTTATTACTTTCCTGTAGGCAAACCTGCCGTCATTGCTCATTCTCTTTTGTGGTTCAGCCTGTTTTTTTTCAACTGCAGGATCACCCGAAAAAGAGATGAGTGGCATTGACATTGGGATTTATTTGATGGTATAAGCTGTGTAATACTAAAGCCAATTGAAAAAGCATCTCTAATTTGGGGCCTTTCAAGTGAGAGTAAAGCTGCTTTTGTTCCTGGCCCACTGGCCTCAGCACCTTCTAGCATTCCAGTGGAGTACCTTTCTCCAGCACTGGGGGTAGTGGTATCAGGGGGATTGTGAAATAGGGAAGGAACAGGATACATTATCCACTAGAGGGAGGGCCTAGAATTGATTTGCTGAATGGCAGTCTGTAGTCTCTCTCTTTCTAGCTGTTTAGCTTGGACTGGATGGCATTTCTCAATCAGAGAAAATAAAGCCTATGAGATTGTTACTCTTGGCAGAAAGCCGTTTTTCCCTTTCCCTTTCCAGGGTAAAATTATGATGTCATAGCCTTCAAATGCACCCCAAAGGTCACAGTCAATCAACCAGTATTTATGAGGCACCTATTAAAATGTTGTTAGTAGAGATGCTGAGAGCTTAAAAAAACATAGAAGATATTGTCTCTGACCTCAAGTAGCTTATAACCTTGGGAGAAACTGAAGGCTTACAGACGTAAAACAGAAAAAACCAGGAAGAACAGTGCAGACAAATGTGCTAAATTATGGCTACATTCCATATCTCCATGATCTTGAACTCTGAAATTCCTTTGATACTAACCTCCCATCCTTCCCCCTTTTGTCCTTCCCCCTTCTGTCCTTCATAACTTGTTCATCATGCTCATTCAATCTCCAATCCTTCCACCTCTTCCTATTCTCCCAGTGAATTACCCTTATACTAGCTTCACTTTTCTTCCTTCACAATCTTGACTCTGTGGTTGGCCAGTTCAACTATACCACATCCTATATCTTTGAATCCCTTGCTAGACCCCAACCCTGGATTACCACCTATCCCAGGAGTGCTTTCTCATCTGGCAATGGACATCTGATGCTTGAGGGGTTAGGGAAACTTTTACTTTACTGAGAAAAGGGACAGAGGTGAGCACAACTTCCTCTGTTCTCCAACAAGAACTACTCAGCAAACCAGCCCCGAAAGAAAAGCAGCCAATGTGAAAGATCCTTTGAGAAGCCCAAAACCAATAATGATAATAATCTAACATTTATGTAGCATTTTACACGTAGGTTGCTAGGTCATGTAGTGACTAAAGTCAGGAAGATCTGGGTTCAAATCTGGCCTTGACCACTTAATGTGTGGCTCTGAGCAAATCACATAGCTTCAGTTTCCCCATCTACAAAATGAGGATAATGATAGCACCTACTACACATAGTAGTTGTGAAGATAAAATGAGATTTTATATATATATATATATATATATACATATGTATGTATGTATATATGTGTGTATATATGGACACTCACATAGGTACATATGTGTGTATATTATATACTTGTGTATATATACATACATATATATATATATATATATATACACACACAAAGACAGAAACAGACATTCACATACAGAGAGAGAGAGAGAGAGAGAGAGAGAGAGAGAGAGAGAGAGAGAGAGAAAGCATGTGCTTTGCAAACCTTAAAGCACTGCATAAATGCTAGGCATTATTATTATTATGTTTCCAATTCTATGGATGCATATGGAAGAAAATCCCTTAAATCATACTGACTTGGTGTTAGGAATTAGTGCCCCTAGGGTAAATTAAATTGAGAGGATACAGCATAGAAGACTAACTGATTCCAAATTTAATTACACTGAGAGAGCACCCCACTGCACAGATCGAAGGAATGTGTCCCCCACCTTTTAATTCTTCTGAAATTGCTTTCTACAAAGTTACCAATGATTACTTTTTTTAAAAAAATGCATCTTGGGTTTATTAATGTCTTTTGTTTTTCATATCACATTCATTTTTGAATGTATCCCTTCCTATTCTACATACACAGCTGTATCTTGTAGCAAAGATTTTAAAAGAAAATGAAAAAAAAGCAGATGAGAAAAATTCAGCCATTGACAGTGTTTGACAGTGTCTGCAGTGTTCTATACTCATAATCTCCTATTGATGCAAAGAAGGGAGGAAGCTCAACTCTCTTCTGGGACCAGGCTCAGTCATTGTAATTTTATGTCATTCAGTTTTATTTTATTGTTCTTTCTGCTTTTATTGCGATGATCTTTGTGTATAATATGTTCCTGGTTTTATTTACTTCACTCCTTATCATTTAATATATCTTTTCATGATTCTCTGAATTCTTCACACTCCTCGTTTCTTGTAGCTCAGTAATATTCCATTACCTTTCATGTACCATAGATTGGTTAGCCTTCCCCCAATCCATGGGCCTCTATTTTGTTTTCAGTTTTTTTGCTACCAGAAAAAAAATGACGCATAAGGGAACATCACCTTTTGAAATTCCTAGTTTTCTTTAAGTCTCAGCTCAGGGAACCATCTTGTGCTCAAGTCTTGCCTGATTCTTGAACTTATGTAATCACCTTGCATTTATTATCTGCATATGTTATATCCCATCCCTAAAATGTAAACTCCTTAAAGGCAGACCTATTTCATGTTTGTCTTCTTATCCCTTGGGCCTAGCATAGCACTTGGCCCATAGTAGGTCCATAGTAAATAGTTGCTAAATTGACTTGGATGAGAATTGGACATTTGTAAACATAAAACAATCAGATAGCAAATCAGTACAAACAACTCATATTAACAATACTAAATTTGGCAGTATATAAAAGGTTTCAAAAGGAATTTAGAAAAGGGAGTGAGTAATGCAGGTTAAAATACAAACACATAGAGCACAGAATTTCTCTTCCTTACACTGACAAAGAAGTGATATATAGGGTGTCTCAAAAGTCTTAGTGCCGTTTTAAGCCATTAAGGCTTAAAACGGCACTAAAACTTTTGAAAAGCTTATACTCTGAAAAGCTTGTCAAAAATTGCATAGCTGCTAGAACACTGCATGTTTCAGACTTGATGTCTTAGCAATTTCAGATGTGTGTTCATCTTTCCTTTACCTTGTTATAAAGCGTCTCTAACATTCCCCTTCCCCAAGATAAATTCTTTCCTTCAGTGAGTAGACACGAATGAGTGGCCAGTTGAAACTCAGAGATGTGACCAAGTGTTAAGGGTCGTATATTTAAAGTTTAGTTTCACATTTTACTCAGAATCACATAATTAATCATTAATGAGCTATAAAATAACACTTTTCTCTAGACAATCTTTACTCCTAAGGTAATGTAATATAAATTATTTAAAAACTGGTAATATTTTACATTAGCATACCAGTAATCATGTTTTAAGGGGGAAAGCCCTGAATATACATACGCATATATATGTAACCCATAATCCAATTATCTTGTACTCTGCCTCAAGATGATTTCGGAGAATTGCAATTAATGCAAGGAGTGTATGCTTTAGGAATTACTAAAAACAAAAGACATCTGGGTTTTTTGGTCACAGTACCTGAAAATAGAGTTTGTCAGGGACTTCCATGCAGCTAGACTGAGAGACTCCAGTCTGAGTGTGAGCTGCTTCTTTAAAGTAATACTGAGAACTTCCTCCACGGAAAATCTTTAGAATGGAATGTAAGACTCATCAAGGAAGCATCTCTTGTTCTACAAAGGTTTGCAAGACTATGGTGCACAACATGGGATACTAAAACACTGGTTAGACCTAAAGAAATGTCCATAAATTCACCCTATTAGCAACAAAGGTTCACAGAGGAAGTTAAACACATGCACACACACACGCACACCTGCACACACACACGCACACAGAGCACAGAAAGACTTTATATAAACCCAAAGATTTATAGGACCACTTTTGTGATAGTAAATGAAGTGAGTATTTACCAAATGGAGTAAATTGTATCATTTGAATATAATTGAATATGATTGTGTTACATTATGAATGTGGGGAATTTAGAGAAATATAAGAAGACTTATATGAATTGGAAAACCTGGAAAAACAATATTGTAACATAATAACTACAATAATGCATAGCCTGTGGCCCAGCATACCAAGTGCTAAATTTTCATGGTCCAAGTGCAGCCTTAAGGACTTCTTTAGAGGAATCATAACTCCTTGGCTTATGTTGCCTCTGTCCAGAGTTGCCTCTCAAAAATTTCAGAATAGAGGTAAAAATAATTCAAGTCTAGGTCTTCATAGACATCAGTAAAAAAAAAAAAGGGGTGGTGTCCCCAGATCCTATACAAGCACTATAATACACATATATCAAGTTCAGGACAACCTTTATTTCACTCCAGAAACAAAGAAAGAAAGAAGGAAGGAAAGAAGGAAAGGAAAGGAAGGAAGGAAGGAAAGGAAAGGAAGAAAGAAAAGAAGGAAAAGAAAAAGCCATAAAGAACTCATAGTAGCACATAAATAATCAATACAGTTTTTTTTTCTCTTTCTCTTGAGTCTCAAACTTTCCTGGGTCCTTGTTGTTCCACGCATAGAAGAACTTTATGCTTTGGAGCTTGGAAGGGGAAACAATCTTAGTGTAATGAGAGGGACAAACTCGCCCCTCTCCCCCAACCTTCTGGAGACTCTCACTTTCATCCTAAGAACTCTGCAGGCATCCAGACTTATGGTTGTACTTGGATATCTTGGACCTCTCCCAGAAAGGCAAACTGCTTACAAACTACTTACTTCCCATCAAACCGGCACTGTCCAAATAACACAAAGAAATAGCAGAGGACAAAGTTCAGGGCCTCTGCTCCAAAGTACTGTAACTTAAACTTTCCTGCTGCACCTCTTTCTTCAGAAGCACATACATAATCCTGTTCTCTCTCCAAGAGTAGGACACTATCGAGGAACTCACACCCCTTCTTTCTGTAGAAGATTAGGTCCCAGGACTCTTGAACTTGGGGTTGCTAGCTAGGAGATCCTGGGACTTGCATTTCCCAGTAAATCCTACCTTTTCTTGGTAGAATGCAGATTCTCGGTCCACTCTGCCCTCAAACTCTACTATTCTCTATTTAGAAGCTTGGGGTTCAGGAATTCCTGTAGTTCCCTCTCCATTGCTGCCATGTTGTCAAGAGCACACATTCCTCTGCTACTGCTTGTCCAGGAATTCAGGGTTAAGAACTCTCCTTTCAGCTGCCTGGATGACAGCACTGTACCTCTGTCCCGAGATAGACATGACCAGCTCCCAGGAGGGAACTCTCTCCCTCCCCACATTTACTGTTACCTCTGCTGCACCTTTCTTCTAATAGAGGAAAAAAGCAAAAAAAAGGAGGTTTTTTTCCCTTGAAATGGACAAAAATGGTAAAAGGCAAAATCTTGAACAAAGACTTTTTTATAGGTCAACAGAATGAAGCAGCTCTCCCTGCAATAGTCTGTACATAGCAGTCCAAGTCAACCTTTTCATCCCTGTTAACTCCACACTGAGCTGAGAATAGGTCAGCTGAACATGTCCCAACACATAGGGAGAGGTAATCAATGTCCCAAAGATTCACTACCCTCTGAACTCATTAAGCTGATCAAGAACTCTCCTAATCAACCCCTTACAAAAATAAATTAAGTGACTAAAATGGCCATGACCTTTGACCCAGAAATTGCACTACCAGGCATATATCCCAAAGTCATTGATAAGAAAAAGTCCCATAATACACCAAAATATTTGTTAAAACATATTATCTGGTAGCAAAGAGCTAGAAATAAAGTAGATGCCTATTGACTGGGGAACGGCTAAACAAAGTGTGGTACATAAATATAATGAGATATTACTTTGCAACAAGAAACAGTAAATATGATGACTATAAAGAATCATGGAAAGACAACATGGACTGATGTAGAGTTGAGTAAGCAGAGTCAAGAAAACAATATATGTAATAACTGCAACAATGTAAAAGGAAAGAATCACAAAACAACAAAAGTGAGTATTATGAAATCACAAAGAATAAGCACAGCTACAAAAAAGAAATATGAGAAGACACATCCCCCCACTCTTTTGCAGAAGTGAGCAGTCTATGAGTGAGGAAAATTGCACATATTTTCAGATTTTTTTCAATGCATTAATAAGTTTTGCTGACTTTTTTCCTTTCTTGAAAAAAAATATTCTTTATTATGTGGGATAGCTCTTTAGGAGAGAGGAGGGGATGAGATATAAGAGGAGATGTAGGGTTACCCAGAAAACAAAAGTTATCAATAAAAATTTATTTAAAATAAAAGATTAAAGGCTGTTTCAAATATTAATTCAAAGGAAAGATAATAACTCTCACATCTGACCTTTCATAGAAAGGTCGATTGCTACAGGTGCTGGATGTTGTCTATGCTATCCAACATGGTCACTGTATCAGGTGGTTTTGCTTAACTGGTTTTCTTTGTGACAAGGGAAACATCTATGGTGGTGATGGTGGCAATGGTGATATTGGGAAGTGTCTTGTACATAAAATAAGAAGTATTGATGGTTTTTTTTAGGCAATTGGGGTTAAGTGACTTGCCCAGGGTCACACAGCTAGTAAGTGTCAAGTGTTTGGTCTGAGGCCTGATTTGAACTCAGGTCCTCCTGACTTCAGGGCTGGTGCTCTATCCACTGTACCACCTAGCTGCCCCTGATGATTTTTTTTTGTAAATAGTTTGTCCCCTAAGAGGATGTGGAGAAATAACTAGTGGGAAGAAACAGGTGGTGGGAGCAAAGGACAATGACTTAATTTGTGGAGAATCCCAGCATGGGAGTCCTCATATTAAGTCTGTCAGTAACCCTCAGAAACTATTGTTGTGTAACCTTGTGGGACTCAGAGCTATTAAAATTTTCTTGATATAAAATTCCCTTGAATGAAACTTCTTTCTCCAATCCAATTAGTACTTATAAAGTGCCCACTATGTGCAAGGTACTCCACTAGGTGCTAAAGACACAAAAAATGTTTCTTCATTCAAGGAGATTACCACCTCAGTGGGGTTGCTATACATCATGATGTACACAAATACACACACACACACACACACACACACACACACACACGATAATTTGCAAAGGAAGAGAGCAGTGCTAGCAGGTTGGGGTAAGACTTTCTTAAGAAATGGCCCCTAATAGCTAGGTGGCACAGTGGATAGAGCTCTGGCCTTGGAGTCAGGAGGACCTGAGTTCAAATCTGGTCTCAGACACTTGACACTTAGTAGCTATGTGACCTTAAGCAAGTTATTTAACCCTGATTGCCTCACCAAAAAGCAAAAAAAAAAAAGGCCCTAAATTGAAACCTGAAGGGAAAAGGGATTCTGAGAGGTAGAGCTAAGGATTGGGAGCATTCTAGCCATGGGAGACAGTATGCCAAGGTACTGAGGTGCAGAGGATAGGTCAGGGGTTCTTAGCCTGGGATCTATGACATCTGTGAGAAATGAGAAATCAATGAGGAAAACGCATCACATTCATTTTCAATGGCCTTTGAATTTAGCATTTCCTTACATTATGAACGTAGGCAACAAATATTATCCAGAGAAGGGGTCCCCAGGCTTCCCCAGATTGCCATACTGCTTTACCATGACATCAAAAAAAATTTAAGACTCTGCGCGACGCGGTCCTGAGCTGGGGAAGGAGTCCATGCCGAGGGATGCCCAAGAAGATCCAGGGCGAGAACACCAAGTCGGCCGCTGCCCGAGCAAGTAAGGCCAAGGCCAAAGCAGCAGCTGATGCCAAGCGGCAGCAGGAACTGGAGGATGCCTATTGGAAGGATAATGACAAACACGTCATGAGGAAGGAGCAGAGGAAGGAGGAGAAGGAGAAGCGCCGTTTAGAGCAGCTGGAACGGAAGAAAGAATTGCAGAGGCTGCTGGAAGAAGACTCCAGGCTGAAGGGGAAGTCGCCCAAGCCCCTGACCCCAGGCAAAGTGACTCGGGCCCAGACAGAGGAGACGCTGCGCCGAGACCAGCAACAGAAGGAGAATGAGGAGACAGTGGACAAACCAAAAAGTCATCTTGAAGTACCCTTGGAGAAGAACGTCAACTGGCGTGTGCCCGAGGAGGGGAGCGTGGAAGCCAGAATAATCGAAGATGCCATAGCTGTCCTCAGTGTTAATGACGACTCTGACGGCCACCCCGAGCGCCGCATGAAAGCTGCTTTTACTGCCTTTGAGGAGCTGCACCTGCCAAGACTGAAGAAGAAGAATCCCAACATGCGTCTATCCCAGCTGAAACAGCTGTTGAAGAAGGAGTGGATGAGGTCCCCTGACACCCCCATGAACCAGCGAACCATGGCCTACAATGCCCAGAAATAGAACTTGGGGAATGGAAACAGGCAGGGGAAGAGAGGGGATCCATCCTAGTCTGCACCACTGGGTCTCAGGCCCTCAGATTCAGGGTTTGGGGGGATGGGGAAGAACAGTTCCAGATAGAACCAGTGGAATTTTTTTAAAAACACGTTTCTCTCCCCTGTTCTCAGCACTACTGATTAAAAGAGGAGTCACCACCCGAAAAAAAAAATTTAAGAACCCCTGGGATACACTATGGCTGGCACTCTTGCAAGTGGTGAATTGGTGTCAGCCTATTAGACTGCCTAATAAAGAGATTTTTCACAAGATATTTCTGGGTGGATATTTAGGCTAAGAGAATTTGACCCTTCCTCACCTTCTCCATCACACACCAAAAAAGTAACTTGGACTCTACTCACCATAGGCATCTCTGACACCAAGGTTAGATATATGTATATTTAAAACTTCATGTACATATTCCTATTGAGAGAACCCAAATAGCAGCATGTCAGTTGAACACATTCTTTACAGCCAGAATTACCTGTCGAGTATAGTTTGGAAGAGCTCAGCAGATGGTATTCCAGATGAGAGATGTCAGCACAGCCTCCAGCCCACATGGGCCGTGAAGGCAGTAATGGGTTTTGAACTTCTCTCTATCTCTAGTGAATGACAGCTCTTTGAAAAGGTAGTTATTTTATTGGCTCTTTCAATGAGATGTGTGTCTCTGCCCCATGTGGATGTTCAGATATTAGATCTGAATCTGAATAGATGTCAGATCACTGGGATTTGACACAATGACAGTAGATGATGCTAAAAGAAGTAGATGCTTGGTCTGATTCTATTATACCTTAACTTCCCTACTCCTACTTTTTTTTTTTGAAGACAAAGGGTCCAGATCTTACAGGTGATTCAGCTATTTACAAGTGTGAGTTAAAACTAAGTGGAATCTCTGAGGCTCCCAAATCTGAGACGTATTTTGGTGGGCAAGGAAATAAAAAATGAGAAATAGTGGCATATTATCTTTCAAATTTATTTTTAGGGAGAGAATTTTTAATTAAATGAAAAATAGAGATGATCAAAAGAAGATAAATGAGACAATTTTGATAATAGAAAGTTAAAGTGCTTTGCATAAACAAAATCAATAAAACCAGGGTAAAAAGGAAAACTGTCCATTAGGAAAGAATATTTGTATCAAATATCTTGGATATGTCTGATAATCAAAATACACAGGAAACAGAAATAAACATATAAAATCAAGAGCCATTCCCCAATAGTTAACTAGTCAAAGGATATGAATGATTTTCAGAAGAAGAAATGTTAATGATCAAAAACCTAATGAAAGAATTCTTTATATCACTAATAATAAAAGAAATAGAAATTAAAATCAAAGAAATAAAAATAAACAAGTCTGTTTTACCTCACAAACATTAAATTAGGACATTTAAGAAAAGATGAAAATGGTAAATTTTGTAGTGAATGTGGGAAGACAGGTATACTAATGCACTATTGGTGGGACAGTAAATTGGTCCATTTGTTTTTGGAAATGATTTGGAGCTATACTAGAAAAATTACTAAGCTTCACCTAACCTTAGACTCAACAATATTACACACCTAAGGGTGTCAAAGACAGAAAAACACATCAATGCAAAAATATTTGTAGCACCACTTTTTAAAACTAGTAACAATAAAACTAAAAATAAAGGGAATATCCACCCATTGAGGAATGGCTGAATGAATTGTGGCATGTAAATACAATTGTATAGTACTATGGCATAAGAAGCAACAAATATGAAGAATTCAGAGAAACTTGGGGGAAGACTTACCTGAAATAGGGCAGCTAGGTGGCACAGTGAATAGAGTGCTGGCCCTGGAGTCAGACAGACTAGAGTTCAAATCTGGCCTCACCTGGGCAAGTCACTTACTCCTGTTTGCCTCAGTTTTCTCACCTATAAAATGAGCAGGAGAAGAAAACGGCAAACTACTGCAATATCTTTGCCAAGAAAACCCCACGGAGTCATGAAGAGACAGATATGAATGAAAAATGACTCAACAAGAAAAAAGTGAATTAAGCAGGATCAAGAAAGCAATATACACAATAACTACAGTAATGTAAAAAAACAAAACAAAACACTGAAAGACATTAGAATTCAGATCAATGTCATGATGCAGTTTGACTCCAGAAGACTGGAAATACACCTCCCTCCTCAAATCAGAGAGGTGATGGATAACAGGTGTGGTATGAGACATGCTATCAGACGTGGTCAACGTATCTGTTTATTTTACTAAACTGTACTTCTTTGTAGCAAGTGAGTAATCTATTTGGGGTGGTGGTATTTGTGACAGCATTGTGGAGAAATGTAGCAATAAAACATTTAAAAAATAGTTTCTTGGCTAATAGCTTTAATAAGAGAGATAAATTATCTCTTTTAAACCATTGAAGCATAGAAGCATGATATATTAGAAAGGACACTTACTGTTTTAGTCTATATAGATATTATCTACACAGTATAATACTGTACTTCTGTTTGCTATGGATTATGCAATAGAGAGCCATGTTACTGCGCATGCAAATGTGGCCAGCTGGAACAGATGCCAAGGCTAGCCATGAGCTGGCAATGAGTAAGGTTAGAAGTGATTCTGAAACAGTTACTAGAGAAAAGGTGAAGGTTAGAATGGGGAAAGGGGGGGAAGGAGGGAGGAGGAGAGGGAGAGGGAGACAGAGAGAGTCAGAGACAGATAAAGAGACACAGAGATATGGACAGAGACAAAGACAGAGAAAAAACAGAAAGAGGCAGACAAACAGAAAGACAGAGACAGAGTCAGAGAGTGAAAAAAAGGAGAGAGAGAGAGAGAGAGCAAGAGAGAGAGAGAGAGAAAGAGAGAGAACTGGAGACAGAAAAACCCCAAATATCCAGGAGTCATAGAAGAGGTGAAACAACATGAGTGCTGATCTGACTAAGGCCCAGGATAGGTGCTGGAGTGATGAAGTGATAAGAGGTAAGGGGAGAGATAGAATACAGAAAATATTGGAAGTGAAATGAAAGGCAGAGAGCACAAGAATATGAGGGGTACATGAAAGGGGATATGGAGGGAATAGGAATTAAGAAGCAAAGGAGCTTGAAAAGGAATGGAAAATAGGTGAGAATCAGATGGGTCAAGAGTTACCAAATAATTGGAGGCACAGGGAAGCAGAGTAGTTGAAAGCCAATATAGGAGTGGTGTGGGCTGTAGAATACCTGTAACTGTAAAGGATCTTATAGATGTTCTAGTCCAATGCCCTCATTTAACAGGCGAGGAAACTGAGGCCCACAGAGGGACAGTGACTTGCTCAAGGTCACATGACTATGATGTGTCAGAGCCAGGTCTTCTGATTTTAAACCCAATGATCTTACCAGTTTACCACATTATCTCTCAGATAGAGGACAGAATATAGAGAGATACCGTAGGTGACACATAGTGAAGAGAGGAAGAGAAAAATGAAAAAGGGAATGTGCTGACATGGCAAGAAGACAGAAAACAAATGGGGTGGGGGGAAGAAGGCCAATGATCAGTGAAGGGAGAGGTAGAGGAAGAAGTATGACAAAGAGAGAGGTTGGGGATCAGGGAAAGGAAGGCTCACTAGTCAAGAAACATTTAGTAAGCTCTTACTTCAGTAACAGGTTGGCTAATGGTACATGACAACAGCATCAGCAAATGTTCATTAAGCACCTAGCAAGGAGATAAAGATCCGGAAATCAAATTCTCTGCTATCATTGGGCATAGACTGTACTGGAGGGAATCTGTCAACCTCTCTCTCTTTTCTGTACCACCCATCTCTCTACAACTTGTCCTCACTACCTCTTACCTCATTGGTATATAATACAAGGTGATGATGGTGATTGATGGGGGCATAGGAGATACACAGAAAGTGCTTTATAAGCATCTGAAGAGGGAAAAACACCAATAGCTGGAATAATAAGAGAAGGCTTCATTGGAAAGGGGCACCTGAAGTGAGTCAAAGGATAAGAAGAAGGGTAGAAATAATGGCCCAACAGTCTGAGTAAATGCGCAATAACAGGAGATAGCATGTTGAGTTCAGGGAATAGCTAGTAGTCCAGTTTGGCTGGACTTTCTTTCACCACAAAGGTTTTGTGGTTTACCACTCACTTTGTAATTGTTATAACCACGGCATTAAAGGGTGCTCTTTTGGCCTGCGTCAGCCATCAATTCAACAAACATTTACAAAGCACATACAGTGAGTTCTGTTGGGTCTTAGGGACACAAAAATGAACTAAGACACGGTTCCTACCCTCGTGTACCTTAAGATCTAGTCCAAGGAGGGAGAGGAGGTTGAGGCAAATATATGAATAACTATAATGCAAGTTATATGTATAATTTGTAGCCTGAAACCATAGCTCTAGACTCTCACAGACTGGGTTCAATCTTGCAGATTTCTCATATAATCAAGTGGTTAGGGCACTTGTCTTTTTCCATTGCTCTAAGGGTCCTTTTCAGATGTGGACCCACACAAGAACACACAGAGTTTAGTACTGTGGGAGCCCAGCCATCACCAAGAGGTCATCCTCCTCTCTCCCTCTCTCCCTCCTTCCCTCTCTCTCTCTCTCCCTGTCTCTGTCTGTCTGTCTCTGTCTTTCTCTCCTCTCACAAAATGCCCCAAGGAAAATTAATTTAAGCTTGGGTTTGGCTCATGTCTAGGACATCCCCAAAATGGATGTTCATTGTGAATCTGAGTATAGCTATTTACTTTCTGTACACTAAAGATATGCCTACACAAGAGAATTACAAGTTCACATTGACACAGACTTAAACAAATAGCAATAATAACTTTTTATTACTATTAGATTCTCCTGGGAGGTTGAACCCTAATATATGGCATTTGAGGGAACTGCTGAACCAGCATTTCACATTTACCTTGCTTCTACACTGTTCATACAAATTCTTCTAGGTCTAAGTCTTTTGGCAGTTGAGGACAGGAGTCAGGCTGAACCTTCTGCTGACAGTCACCTTGTCTGATTCGGCAATTCCTCTTGCTGCATATTAGCTCTGACTGCTCCAGAGATCCAGAGTAGCTAGATCTTATGAACACATAAAGTCGTGTGCAAGGCTGGAAATATCCATCCCAAAATTGCTGCTCAGTTACTTATACTCAGGAAAGCAACACAAAGCAGAAAAAGTCAGGCAGTGGTCCAAAGATCCACTAACTATATACACTATATACATAATATGATATTCCATAAAGTGAGTCCAAACAGAATAGTATGAAAAATTCAAAAATTAATCAATCACTTATTATTAATGGGATTAGGAAAGGCTTCATAGTACCCTAGCTGGACAATGAAGAATAGGAAGAAGATTAACATGTGACTGGGGGGAAGATAAGCAGTTGGAGGGAAGAAAGGAGGGAAGGAGAAAGAGGAGGAAGGAAAGGAGAAAAAGAAGGAGGAAGGGAGGGAGGCAGTATGCACAAAGGTACAGAGGTGAAAAATAGCAAGATGAAATCAGGAAGCAATGAGGAGTCCTGTTTGGTTGGAAGGTAGAGTTTGTGAGAGGAAGTAGTATGTGATAAGTATAGAAAGATAAATTGGAACCAGATTGGCCAGGGCCTTGAATATCAGGGCTAAGGAGCTTTTTTTTTTCCTTTTCAGGTCACGATAAGGATTCACTGAACATTTTTGAGTAGAAGAATGACATGGCCAGATCTGTGAATTACTCTGACAGAAGTATGAAGGATGGATTGGAGAAAGAGGAGACCAGTAAAGAGGCCATTAAAATGATCCAGATGAGAGGTAATGAAGGCTGGACCTAGGGCAGCAGCAGTGAGAGAGGGAAATATTTATTAAATACCAACAAGAGTTAGTGTATCCCTCCAGAATGCTTAATTTACACACAGGGAACTGTTTGTTCACTGGGATTTATAGATGTTTTGAGATCTGTTAGTTAAATGTGCTATATTAAGAAAAGATATTATTGTTGTCATGCAGTTGTTATGCAACTTGGAAGGATAGCTCATATAGGTGGTCTGTCAGTACATAATCTTGAACAGACACTGTGCAGCGACAATGAGCTGGGCCAAGAGTTGAATAGAAAGAGGATTGGCTAGACTACCTTTGGGACACTATGTAATGCTTTTAATGATCCCAAGTTTCTCCCTAAAACAAAGGTTTATCTTTTTTTAAAAAAACAAACAACATTCTTCCAGTAATGCTGTGTGGTTTTGAGTTATGAGGTAACACAATCTCTGAAGAATTAAAGTTGCAGGTTCCCAAACAGAAATGGAAAAATTCATTGCAAATGGAAGTAGAGAGCAATACATTTGCAAGCAAGAATTGCCCAAGAGAAACAGATATAGATGTTATCAGAGACAGGCAAAACTGGAAAGGAAAGATGGCATAGCTACTTGCAAAGGATATCTATTGATAGCCCACATATTCCATTAGTTTCTACACAATGTCAAAAGCTGTAGAGGAAAGCCCCCAGCATCCTGGGTCAAAAGGAGAATTTATAGAAAGATATAGGTAAGAACATACAGGATGAAATGGAATTAATGAGTTTCATTCTACATCATTGGAGTACCCACATTAATGAGATCACTAATCTTTCTTTTTAAAAATTATTTTTGTTATGTTTTTATTCTAGTGAGTAGACTGCCAAAGATGAAGTCTCTGTCTTCTTTGCCACCCCACTGACTTATTTTCTAACAGGGATTAGGGGAATAAATCAGATTAATTCACTATGATTTAGTTTCTATAAAAACAAGAATAAAGCCTACCTCATGGGTGATAAATTTACTTTTACATTCATTGCTGGAGAGGAGCTCTTAGAATATGATAACATTGTGTTGAAATGCTTTGTCACATGTGTAAGAATGAACTTATTTGTTGCCCTTATCAGGAGCTGTAGATGAATCACTCAATTTGTATGAGGGGTTTTACAATATCCAGTATATTGGAAGATGAACCAATTGCTGTCTACTGTGTCCATTGCTCTAACCAACTCAAATTGATATGCTGCTTATAACAAAAGAAATTGCCATCTGTCACTTTGCTTCTATGAAGTACTGTTGGAGGCAGCTTGCCAATTTCAGGCAGAACTTTAGAACTAATGGTTTCTTGAGGCCATATGTACACAGTGTAATAATAGCAGGTTCTAGGCAGACCTTGTCTACTAGTTTCTGGAAGTGTTTTCCATCCATGAGATGAGCAGATGCCCCAGACTCTATTAAGAATTCTGTTTTCTTCACAAATCTGTACAGTAATATGGAGTCCTCCTATACTATTGATGTGATTTGTATATTGAAAATATGTCCCTTGTTATCCTCCTTCTCCTGAGGATTCCAGTCTCTGTTACATAGTGAATGGCCCTTCTTTGTTAGAGGGGAGTACCAGATGCCTCTTTGGGAAATTTGGCAGGTTGAAACTTTTGGTGAGTTTTTTGCTCATTTGATGACTTCCCAATTTATGTAAAAAAGATGAAATACTTCCTTTCATACACTGGGCACAGATCACATAGACGGAATCACATAGTCTGGGTACAGAAACTATCATCTCTCCTTATGCAAAGACTAGTGGCATTCCTTTCCCTAGGTGCAACACTGTGTCTCAGCATTCTGACTCGGTTTTCACTGGCATTGTTTTCACTGTTGCTATAGTTCATAGTGTAGTTATCCATTAGACCGTTTCTATGTTTTGTTTTAGTTTTTTTGTCCAGACCTGTGATTTTTTTGATACAGATTTTGCTGATATTGGTCTCCAAACTTTTTTGATTATGCATGTCTATCAGTAAAAAAAAAATACTCCCCAATAGAAATATATTTACTTATTTATAATTTGTATCCATGTACCACTGAACTAATAATTAGGTACATTATAAAGCTTACACAAAATTGAAATTAAGAAGGATGAATTAAAGATATGATAAGGTATTGAAGATAATTTATGAGTAGTAAAAAAGCCCTTTTTGATCTTACTAAAATATTGCTTTTAACGTTGACATTTCTGGTGAAAGTAATGTGACTGAATAGGTTTCATTTAAAAAAAATCTTGCCTTAATACTTTGTGACGTAGCAACTTTAAGGTTCAGTTCTAAGTTCAATTTACTTCCCAATTCGACTGCCATAATTCACAAAGATACCCAGATGAAGTGGAAGAAGTGAATCATTAACTGCATTTACTAAATCACAACATTCACTTTTCAATCCTACCCACCAATTGTTTTGTTGTTGAATTTCAGCTGGTAGATGACTGCCTTCCCTTATTCAATCAGTTGTTCTTGAAAACTAATTGGAAGCTATTGCATTTTTATATTTTTTAACACATGGGTTCAGAACCCACTGAAACTCTTGTTCTGGAAACTTGTTGAACCATTTAGACAATTCTGTTTCCAAGTTTTTAAGTGTGTATATTGAGAGTTTTTTTATAGGCTTCCCACTAGCATCATTCTTTACTACCCAAAGAAGAGGGAGTAAGTATACAGGAGGAGAAGTTGGTCAATAATTCCAGGTGCTACAGAGAGGTAAAGAAAGATGAGGAATGAGAAAAGGCCATCAGACATGGCAATTAAGAGATTAATTAGGAACTTTGGAGAGAACATTATCAGTTAAGTGAAGAGTCAAGGATAATGAGGAAACTGAGAGCTTGAGAGATTAGAAATATTGTGACACCCTTAAGGGAAATAAGAAAATTCAGAAGACGGATTGGTTTGGGGGACAAAGATAATTTAATGAGATTTACTGCAAAGATACCAACATATCCATGCCTTTTCATTCTTTGTATTTACTCTTTCCCACTGAAAAACTGGAAGGAAACGTCTTACCAGCCATTGCATCAAGATATGTTGAGGGATGCCTATGGCAGCTGCAAGGTGATCTGGGGAGCAGGGTGTGGATGGCCTAGAGGAATGGAGTAGGGAATTTTATTTAGACAGCTGTTTCTGGTGCCTAAGTCTTGATTAAGTTATTATTGTCCTCAGAGGCCCATGCTCAGCACAGCCACAGGAAGCTGGTAGTGGGAGGGGGTAGAATGGGGGAATGTTGAGTTATGATGGTAGAGAGTCAGTGGTGTGCTAATAATTGCTTAACAACCAGCTCCACAAGGAAACATATATGCAGGACACACTTTTTAAGTTTAATCTTCATTATTAACATTTTCTCTATCACTTTCCTAAGTCTAGATGATCAACCAAATTATAAATCAAGCCTTGATATGTAGCATTTTCCAATTTCTGAGGTAAATGCTCACAAAGAAAATTCAACAATGGCTAATCACTGAGGAGGGAAGGTATAGTTGTGTTGGAGACAAATGCACAAATGACTATTTCTCAGAGGGTAGGATGTGACCCATCTTTCCACCCTCCAACTGGTTGATAGAATTAGGCCTGCGCCCTAATTTTGGAAAGCAATAATTTAGAAAAGGAAGTGATGATCACAAAGAGCCAAGATAGCTTCAAGAATAAACCATGCCCATTCAGTTCCAAAGGACAACTCATGAATGATATTTCCTAGGCAGCCTGATTTTAAAATCTAGCCTTCTATCCAGAGAAGGGAGATGTCCTGAGCAGCACCAATCTTGGAAGTTGTCTGTTGGAAGAATTAAAGTTTAAGAGTCCAAAGACCTGGTTCTCTAGACAGAGTAAGAGAGTTGCCATATCCAATGGCCCTTTCCACTCTTCATCCTTCTTGATTTCTCTGTAGCATGACACTGCTCTCTCTTGGTTTTCCTTTGAGAGCAGGGATTGCTTTTTGCTTCTTTTTGTATCCCAGTGCTTAGTACAATACCTGGCAAGTAGCAGGCATTTAATAAATGTTTATTGAAGGAATACATGAATGGTCTGGACATTCCGTCTTTGATCCTTGCTGAATCATCTTCTTCAAGTCCCTAATTGTGGATATAGACCATTGCTTTGTCCTGAGCCCCTTCTCTTTTCTCCATCTCTACACATATGAATCCTAGATCTATATATTCAGCCCTAGCATCTCTCCTGAGCTCCTGTCTCACATCACCATGGTGATTTCCATGGGTGACCATGGATGATTTCCCACTGGATATTCAAAGCAGACCTATTACCTTTTCTCCCCAAACCCACACAACCTCCTCACTTTATCAAGGACACTATGATTCTTCTAGTTACTTGTTTGCAATACTGGAGTCATTTTGATCTCTTTATTTTCTCATACCTTCCTTACTCAATCAGTTGTAAAATCTTGCCTTTATTCCCTTTACAACATCTCTCACATCTGTCCCCTTCTCTCCACTCATATTTGACATCACTGTAGTTCAGGCTTTCATAACCTCTCACCTGGACTACTACCAAAAGCACCTTTTGCTTCAGCTCCTTTTGCTAATCTAGCCTCCTCTTAGCTTCCAAAGTATGCCACTCACCTGTTCAAACAGTTGCAATGGCTGCGTATTACAGCCTCTAGGATAAAATACCGAGTCCTCAGATTGTTATTAAAAGCTCTTCATAATCCGGCTTTAACTTACCTTTCTTCTTCATTTTTTTTTTTTAGGGTCTGGCCAGGACACGAGGCCTCAGTTTATCCCAGGTTTAAAACAGACAAACTTAAATCATTTAAATCACATCACAAAAGACAGCTATTTCAGCTAAAAATGTCACTTGGAAATAGGGGCCACATGGAAATGGGTCAGACCACAATGGAAAGAGGAGGGAGGAGTTGTCAATCCTATACGCCACACGTTTTCAGAGGCGCCAGCTCCCGCACACATGTGCTTAATAATACCAAACGGTCTATTTGTTCACAGTATTAAAGGGCATCTAGAGTTAGCTAGGA